TCCAGATGAACTCGGTGCGTCCGGATAAGTATGTTTCGATGGGATCGAGTTGGAATGTAGGGTTTTGGAAAAAATTGGATAGAGGAAGTGGATGAGGATTTTGGAGCAATATCACTAAGCACTTGAGCGAATAGATCATAATAAACCTCATCCCCTTTTATAGTATTGGCTTTCCTATGGACTCAATGTGATCTTGGGTCACTTAACCAAAGATGTAGAGTCTTGAGCTTTTGCGAATCCATGTCCTTGGCATTTTGAAGGGGATCCACATCCTCTTGTCCTTGCCATGCCACTATTGAACTTGTCTGGAATATATACTAGATAGAACTATTAGTCCAACAAAATATATGTTGACATTAATTACCAAAACCACGAAGGGATCACTTGTGCTTTCAAGCGCATCCAAGAGTAATTGTGGACTATCGAAGAACAAGTCTGTGAAGGCCTAGAGATCACCTCAAAGATCTACCACGAGTTATTGGGTGGGGTCTAAGTGAGCTTAGCTCAAGGAGAATAGAGTGAAGCGAGTTTGTCTTTTGAGTTTAATCTTAGCCCCTCAAACTAGATGTAGAGTTATTTCAGCAATTTGAACTTGGTGAACAAATTAGTGTCATCACTGAGCCATTGGGCTCTATTGCTTCACTCCACACTTTATGTGATTCCTCTATGTTGCAAAGTATGTCCCACGTCTATCTTCTTTGTGATTTCTGAGAAGATAGTGTTAAGAAGTATCTTATTCTGTTGTTATAGTTATGTTTGTATTTGTATTTGCCTCTGTTGTACTCAAGGTTGTATGCTTGATTGTTAGACTTGAGATTCTTGTGTCTAGCATGCTCAAATCTTTATTTTAGTCTTACTTCTCTACTTCCACTAAGTCTAATGCTATTTGTTAGTTTGTCTTCTAAGTTTATTGCTATCTGTTAGTTTATCTTCTATTCAACTCTGCATTTTCTTATGTCCCTCTCTTTTTCTTTGGTATACTCATTTTATCAAAGAAATTCTCGAGTCTCCACTTCACCCCCACTCTGGTTGATATCTGATCCTAAAATTGGTATCAAAACAAGGTGCTCCATTGATTCTGTGCTGACGGAGAGGAGAGGGTGGGGTAGTTTGCGGGAAATATGACTAGGCGGTGTAATGCAGGGGTAGTTCTCAGTTGACACTCTGACCATCGGATGCAATCTCATGACTAGAAGGGTTGGGCGCGTTTTGCTGCGCTGTTGATGTTGTTGGGTTTGTTAAAAAAATTACTCACTCTGTTTTAAAATATAAGGTGTAATACCTTTTTTAAAGTCAAACTTTTTAAGTTTGATCAAATTTGTAGAGAAATATATCAAATCATTATGATTAGATTCATTATTAAATGAATTTTCATACTTTTTTTTAATATTGTGGATCTCAGTAATTTTTTCTCTAAACTTGGTCAAAGTTAAAGAAATTTGACTCTCCAAAAGACTAATATCCCTTATATTCAGGAATGATAGAATATTCAGTTTGCCGTGTGGGGAGATGATGGAGTGTGTTATATTTTTATTTGTAATGCGATGATTTGATGGACCTTTCGTGGTGTGGTTTTGTGTTATCCGCTAACAAATGTATATTATGTGGGGAAATTTTGGCGTAGGTGACTGCATGTACTATATTGATGCTACAGTATCATATGGTGGCACTTCTTTTTTCTGGGTGGCGGGACGGTGCGCAGGATTGATATATTTTTATAGGCTGGTTGCTACTAACTAATTTGAAAAATCATTAGCCCAATCAAAATGTAAACCAAATTTAAAATAGAATACCTCAATTGAATTAAAGAGCTTCAAAATTAGGGAACATATGCAACTAAAAAATTGGTTGGGAGAGCTCCTTGAGAAATTGTTGACCCGGTCAAATTGGAAGACCCAATTCTAAATTAAAGACCTCAATTAATTGTGAGACCTTGAAAATTAGGATGCATGGTGTATAGTATAACATCTACTACTTAAAAAGAACTTAAGGTTCCCATTTCACCTTTCTTCCCACCACCTCTTCGTTCAACCTTCCATGTATATGATAATCAATCACCTTAATTTAGTTACCTTCTGAACCAATTTCACTTTAATTTACTCAGCAAACTTCTAATCAAAATATAAGGTAATTCACGATCAGAATTTGATGAACAATGATTTACACAATCGTATTATTATTGACAGGTAAATCATAAGCTAACATACTACAATATTTATATCCCGTTGCAACGCACGAGCATTGTTATAGTAAAATTCAATGATAGAGCTTTGAGAAATTGTTGACCCGATCAAAATCAGGTGACCAATTCCAATTGGAGACCTCAATTGAATGTGGGCTCTTTACAATTGGAGACCTCAATTGCATGTGGGCTCTTTAAAAGCAGGGAGTATAGTGTTATAGAAGATAACTCGGTGAAAAGGAAACATACTCCTTCATGCCACATTTGCAACAGCCCTGTCCAATTCCCCCCTCGTGTAACCACTGACATCAATGCCAATTATTTCGCCAAGTGAAAGGATCTCCAGTACCTAAATCATCCAAAAACCCAGATCATTAATAAGTTTGATTTATTTTTGTAGTGTTAATATTATATTTTTCAATTTTTTTTATATATATTGACAAAAGCTAGGATTAAACTTAATAAAAATATTTAACTTATTAAAATAAATATGGATCCTGGTATTGCCAAAACACTAATAATTTTAATATGTTTGATTTACTTTTGATTATATTATATTGAGATGATTATTGTATTGCAAAATTATTTTTCTGTCGTACAGCAAACCATGCGGAAGCTTCACACTCCGCAAAAGTGGTGGAGCTAGCCAATAATCACTAGGGGGCGAAACACAAATCATTAGTGTTTGGGGGAAGGGGGCAAGTCTTAAAAAGAATCTAAACTAAGCCCTCCTTATTTTTTTTCCTTCAAGAATTGATCCAAGGTTGTGGGGGGAGGGGGGCATCAGCTGCTAGCCTTAACATAGCTCCGCCATTGCTCTGCAACCACGCGGAAGCTTCACGCCTGTGTGCCCGCCTTTCCCAAAGCCCCACGTGAAAGCTTCATGCATGTGTGCCCCTCAACCCAGCCACTCTTCCCCAAAGCCACCAAACTCAAGGCCAACTTCTTACCACTCTAAGCTTCATCCTCTATTCGCAAAAATAAAAAACCTTCATCTTGGTTGATGAAGTTATAGATTTGCACCAAATTGGCGGACGCGCTTCCCCTGCTCCCTCTAGATCTGGGAAGCGCGAGATTTATCTAGAGGTCTGCCAGTGGGAGAGCTCCAAAGAGTGTGCTTCACGATGGTACTTCTGAAGCTGGCCACCGTGTTGCTTCTGCTGGCGTGCTTTGTGCGGCCGTTGTGCTACATCCCTCCATCTCTGCGACGTCAATGTTCTCTGTGAATGCCTCTACAGTCCGCCACCTCTAGCGGTGGCTGCCACTACTGTATCACATGGTGGCACTTTTTTCTGGATGGTGAGAGGGCGCGCAGGATTGATATGTTTTTATAGGCCGGTTGCTGCCGACTGATTTGAAAAATCGTTGGCCCAATCCAAATCACAAACCAAATTTAAAAATGAATACCTCAATTAAATGAAAGAGTTTCAAAATTAGGAAACATATGAAACTAAAAAATTGAATGGGAGAGCTCCTTGAGAAATTGTTGACCCGGTCAAAATTGGGTGACCCAATTCTAAATTGAAGACCTCAGTTAATTGTGAGACCTTAAAAATTAGAAAACATAGTGTATAGTATAATAGAATTAAATGAGATAGCTTTCAGAAGTTGTTGATCCAGTCAAACTCGGATGACCCAATTTCAATTGAATGTGGGCTCTTTAAAAATAGAGAGCATAGTGTTACAGATGATTCGTGCAAGCATGCTAGGAGGGCTTCATGGGCCTTTCCTTCGATCATTATTGACTCCGATGACCCAATTTCAATTGAAAGCCTCAATTGAACGTGGGCTCTTTAAAAATAGAGAGCATAGTGTTACAGATGATTCGTGCAAGCACGCTAGGAGGGCTTCATGGGCCTTTCCTTCGATCATTATTG